CAAAAACACATTTTTGTATTTTTATAAATTTTTGTAAAATCTGAAAATTCATAATTAGAAAAATCCCTGAATAATAAAGATTTAAAAATTAAAACGATGACTAAAATTTTTAGTTAAAGACACTAAAAAAAATAAATAAAACCAAATATAGATTGCCTCCCATAAAACGCTTGTTTTAAATCTTTTAACTCGACTTTTTTTTTTTAAGCATAGGATGACTCCACTAAAGGAATTGGGATTCTTTTAGCTTCTCTACACTCTGGACCAGATGGGTTGAGGCTCCATCTATTAGCATCTTGATGGCTTTCATAAAGAACAATCGCACCGTGAAAAAATCATCATATATATGACTTTTTTTTCGATGAATTCTTCATCTTTCTCCTTCAAATCCGTGGGGATCATTATTCTGAAGCTGAAGAAAATTGTTGAGGACCTTTTGTGTTTCATCTCGACATGAACCACATCCACTTTACATTCCTTAAGAGCCAAAGTCGAATTTCCTACACTTGGAGTGTCGTTGCCTTTTGGTTTTGTCGGTTGGACATCTTTATGTATGGTTGGAGGGGCTGGAATTTTGGCGTCTTGGATCTCCTTTATTGTATCACCTGGATCTATATGAAAGATTTCATTAGTGTACATATTAATAGAAAAAGAAATTTTACCTTGTAGGGTTGGTTAGATTACTCCTTTGTCGAGTTTAGAGAGAGATTTGATGATTTGTAGAATCCAAAAATTCTCCATCAGTTTTAAGGAATGGTGAACCAAGAATCAAAGGCTTGTGAAGGTCATCTTTAGTCTCCAAAACGTGGAAGCTTGTTTTAAGGTCCTCTCTTTGATCGCACATGTCATCCAATTTAACATCCATGATGCATGTTTCGTCTTCTTGGATATTTCTTGTAAGCATCTCTCCAAGCTGAACCAACCACGTCTCGGTGCCTTGAAGTTGAGCAACAAGAGCATCTAATTTTTCTTCAAGAGCTGAACCAGAAGTCTCGATCTTTTCATCGACCTCAAAGACGTGGTTTTTGAACTCTTCCATGAGTTCACATGTTAAGAACCTAGCTCAATCTCTAATGAAATCAAAGAGGATTACAAGCAAATCTGATCATGTTTTCCTCTAAACATGATCAGCCACCGATACACTGAATCTTGACACCTCTCAAATTCAGGATCCCTCCCTCAAACAAACCGAAGGTCCTATTTATAAGTACATGCCTTTACAAAAGACTAGTAGGCTCAACTCTCCAATCTTAAGCTGCCAAG